TAGTAGTAGTAGTAGTAGTACTACTAGTAGTACTACTACTACTAGTACTAGTAGTACTACTACTACTAGTACTAAATATTTCATATTTGATTTAGTAGTAGTACTGGAGCCTAGTAGTCATACTGGCAGATAAAACCTCTGACCAAGAAAGACATTGTTTGACACCATCACTATTGTGACCATTACAGCTTCACCAGGCTGCTCTACATGCCCCAACTGCACAGCAATGAGATGTAGCCAGAAATAGCGGCAGATACTATCAAACCATACTGCAAATGTTTTTGGGAAAGAAGTGGAGGCCGGCAGTGTGAAAGCAATTCTCATGCGCAGGATTCCGCTCGTTTCTAAATTTTAAATTTCCAATTTCCTCTTTCAATCGTTTCTCTTACATTTTTTCTTCACATCGCCCGGCTCGTTCGGTCCTTTGTTTGGCGCGAACATTGGCACTTTCCGTTGCTTTGAAAATCAAGGAGGGAAATCATGTAAATACAGACCAGGTTCCGTACTACTTGTACGTTCATTCGTAGGTACGAAGCGGAGTACACAACAAATGAGCAGTATTTCCGATATCCGGTTCATACGAACCGACAAATTTACGATATTTACGATTCGGTACGGTACGTACGTACTCGCGCCGCACAGGAGTGGAACGAAAAAAAATACAGTAAAGTACCGTACTGTATGGAGGAGTGATACTTCAATAGTCGTAGGAATCAATGACAGAGGTGCATGCAGTAACGAGTATTGTACGGTACTCGAAGAGGTACCGGCATTGTACTCGTAGGTACCGTAGAGGATTGATAAAAGCTCGATTGATAGGAACACCAGGAGATCAAGGCCAAAGGAACGACAGCAGTTCGCTGCAAGTCTATTGGGGAGGGACAAGAAAGGAAGAAGAAAGTTACAGCTCTTCAATGATGCGAACAGCCCTAAGCATGGTGCTCTCGGTTTTGGCATTTGTAACGATCTGTTTGCTGATGTTAGTGTCCGCAGGGGAAGCCTTGCCGGAGGGTTTCGTCAGCGAAATAGTGAGTCCCAGGACAAAAGCCGTCACGGGAATCTTCGTTCCGAATCTGCGCCGCACGGACCATCGACCCATGATGCTTTTGATCTCAAAGAAAGGCCGTGTTCGCGTATTAGAGAATCCCGAAAATCTTGATACCGACGACGATGAGTACATCAACAAAGAGGACGAAATTGACAACGACGACAACACGGAGAGCAACTTGATTTTGGACTTGTCCGGGGAGGGCACGCTATGCATCGATGGGGAACGGGGACTCACATCGATTGTTGCTCATCCGAACTTTTTGGAGAATGGGTGGGTTTATTTGTATTACACTCGTTGGAGTCAGTGGTGTTTAGAAGATCCGGTGCTTGGACCGCAGAATATTTTGGTGAGATACACAATGAATTCAACTACACTCCTTCTGGAGAACGAACAACTGCTGGTGGAATTCGGGGTTCTCGGGGAGCGAGTTCACAATGGGGGGGGCATGATGTTCGGAACTGACGGTTATTTGTATCTGGCCACGGGGGACGGTGGCGTGAGACAACACGCCCAGAATCGACAGAATCTGCACGGGAGCCTTCTCCGCCTCAATGACGACGGGAGCGTTCCAGACGACAATCCATACGCGAGAAACTCCACATTGGGCGTCCCGTGTGGAAAATCAGATGGTGTAGTTCCCGAAATATTTGCGAGTAAAGAAGGCGGTGAGAATGTCTTTTGCAGCGAAATTTACGCTTGGGGCTTCCGAAATCCCATTCGTATGGCTCTTAACCATAAAGGAAGTAACAGTGAAAAGGTCCTCTTCTCGATTAGTGACGTGGGGGCCCAGCTATTTGAGGAACTCAGCTGGGGTGGGACGGATTATAAGGAAAAGGATTACGGCTGGCCCAATTTAGAGGGTCCCTGTATCACCGATTCGATCGATGATTGTCCTCTGCCGTCGCCTGACTCGAACCGGATCGACCCTTTCCATTACTATGTCCACAAATCTTACGAAAATGGTGGGTGCGTAGCCGGATCGACTTTTGTTCCGGACGGAATTTGGCCTGATGAATATAAATATTTATTCATCGACTTCATTTTCCTCAAGATCTACAACCTCATCGAAGATCCTGAATCAGAATGTCGCGAAAGTTGTTCACCCCCAACTTCTGGATATAGCAACGAAACCTGTAGGTACACTGTGTGTATGTTTGAATCAAGTGGCGGTAAAATATTTCTCTGGTATGTCGTCCTTGTTTGATTCTCAACATGCGATTTTCTTCTTCAAAATAAGTCTTCGAATCAATTCACGAGGAAGGCGAGAACATTAACGAGGCACGCATCATCGATATGTTCTTCGGTCCCTACAAGGACACCGAGGCACTATATGTGATCAAGTATGGGAACAATAACTCGATTCTTCGAATTCGATACACAGGAGTGTTGGGGGTACCACCGGTAGCCAAAATCAAGATTGAAAACGAGCAAGAGAATATACGAAAGGATACAACGTCCTCGCTCCCCACATCATCTGCAAGCAACATTGGCACAGGGCAAGTCTTACCTTTGCAGAAAACAACAGTGGTGGGGAAGGGGCAGGTAATAAATTTCGATGGGAGCGGGTCCTTTGACCCTGAGGGGAACGGGTTGTCCTTCACGTGGGACTTTGGGGATGGGAACAATTCGACGGCAAACGCGACCAATCTCAGTTATGCTTACGAGGTAGCTGGAGAATATAACGTGTCACTGGTTGTGACTGACTCGAAAAACAAAGAACACCAGGCTTTCTTTATGGTGTTAGTTAGGAAAACACCAACTGTTGATATGTTATCACCTAAGGAGGGGGATCTCTTTAGCATGGGTGACATCCTTCATCTCGATGGTGAGGCTTACGATAATCAGGGAAACCGCATTCCCGACGATCAATTGATCTGGGAAGTCCGCGTGCACCAGGACGATCAACTTGATTCGTTATTGAACAAAAGGAGTGGTAACGACTTTCATTTAGATCCCGCTCTTGGACCTGAAGACCTAAATGGTTTTCTATCCATAATGCTGCAAGCCATGGACGATGACGGATTGACAACCACAATTGTGAGAAAAATCAATCTCGACGTCGTAGATGTGAAATTGACCACCGACCCGGAAGGTCTCAACATGACCATTGACGGTGTAGCGGTGATCTCTCCCTACCACATACAGTCGTGGGTAAACTTTGAATTGCCGATGGAAGTCAAAACGGAGCAATCATATTACAGGTTCAAAAATTGGTCCGATGATAATACCAATTCTAGTCATATTTTCGTGACTACACCTCGGGAAAATGCTACTATCGATGCGACTCAGGCAAAAGAAAGAGCAGTTTCAATCACAGCAATCTTTTGTTTAGATAGCAATGCACCCTGCGGCGACGTGACTACCACCTGCTGCAGTGGAATCTGCGATGAAATGGGATTCTGTAAGGACGAGTTACAAGACTCTGTGAGTGTCGAGACAAAGCCAACGGCTGAAAACGTGTCGATGACAGATCCTGATTTGCTTCCGCCGTATCCTCACGGAACTATAGTTGCGTCTCAAATTATGCCTCACGGATATGATACGGAGCCTGATCAAAAACCTGGGTCTCCAGGCATAGATAGTTCCATATTTGACGAGCCAGAGCTCGACGTGATCAACAGTTCTACCATTTTGGACGAACAATCAAACCTAGGAGAGCAAAACGCTTACTATGGCCTTCGACCGTACGGGAAATGGCTTCTCAGCATATTCTTGACTATTTTTTCGATAGCCCCATGCTACCTTGGTTGGAAATATCTGCAATTGAAGCGACAAATGGAAGCTGAAACAAAAATCTCTACCGATAAAGAAGTTTCTGACGAACCATTGACACCAAAAACGGTAGTAGCGATTTCTAGCGAACAAGATACTCCTGTACCACTTTTTGAATCGAACACAAGCAACATATCGTTCCAAAGAAGTGGAACAATTTGGGATAGAATTGCTGAAGAGACCGAGCGCCGTGCCAAATTACGAGCCAAGTACTGTTGTAAAGATACACCAAAAACTCCAGATACCGCTGAATATAGGGGATCTCCATCCTCCTTCGATTCATTTTCAAGCCCGAGTTCTGTTCTGACTAATAATATCGACCAGACGTTGGTGCGATTAGATGACTTGCTGTCAAAAACATTTTCAAGAAAATTATCCAGAATATCTTTTTGTCAAAAGCAAGAGGAACATAATGATTTATCGGATGGTGGAGACCGTAAAAGTGGGGATTTAGAAAGCGGAGATTTCATTGAAAAAATAGAAGATTCAGAACAGAGCACTCTCGCCCCACTGTGGCTTTCATCTAACCAGAATTCAGTACCTGGATCTCCAATGAGAGATGACAGCAACTGTAGTAAGACTGCTGGGGAAAATCTAACACTTGGATCGTTATATGCATTGGGATCTTCCAAGGGGGATTTGAATACGTCACAAGTCGTCAGATTATCTGAAATGTGTGATAATTCTGTAAAAGTGTTCCAGGACAACAACTTGTCTGCGGCGACAAGCAATACTAGCGAAGGGAACTTACGTGCCAATGATGCAGCGAATCAGCAAAATCGATCTGATGCAGCCGGGGACGGGGGTGGCAATCATATTTCGAACATCTGACTTTGTCGAAGTCATTTGAGACAGGCCTTTCGCAAATCACAAAATTAGCCCCGATCGAGGCCCAATACGTCTTGCTGGTGATAAAACTTTCAATGTTTCATTCTTCTTTTTGTCGGGCTATGAATAATGGATACATATCAACGCTGCGTACTTACTTTACTTTCTTCACGATGGAAAAGTGTCCTGATCTCGTCGAGAAACCAATATAATATATCTTCGGCACAAACAATAATTATTCACTGGAATGAAAGTTCCTCATTTCAAGAATCCACAAAATACCAAAACGCACATTTGCAAACGATACCTTTAGATCCAAGACGAGCAACTAGCATAGAATGGGAGTCAAAACAGGAACGAAAAACAGCCAATTAATGGAGGATTACGTCGGTTACTATCTTCTGAAGTGTTCAAATTATTTTCACTACTTCACCTTTTTCATCAATAGTGTTTTCCTAATTTGATGGTGGAAAACATCTTCTTTTCCAGAAATAATCTATATAATCCGTTGCATTCGGAGAACCATGTCAAGGGATTTCTGCAAGCCTTGTCTTTGTTTTTCAACGATCTCAAGTCGTTCTCCAATGGTAGAATCAGGACGTACTAACTCATCCCAGTCGGCATCATTCACCTTCGTCAAAAGAGTTTCCTTAATCGCTTTTTTGAAACCTTCAAACAGGTGATAGTTCAATTGAAATCGGAAAACAATCAGATTGAATTCCATGAGACCAACAATGTATTCGAAAGACCGTTGCAAGATCATCTCCGTTTCTTCCTTTGTAATCATGGCAGCACGTTCGTCGGGTAGGAACGATTTCTTGGTTGTCGCTCGTTTACGATTCTCGTCTTTCAGAAACAATTTTGCTGAATTGTTTGAATCATTGTTTATGAGTGCCACCGCTCTATGCTTGAAGCTACTCAACCAGCTGTTTTCGAACTGCTTTTCGCGATCTTCATCGACTGACACAAACTTTTGGTCTTTTTTTACGAAAAGATCTTTTTGTTGATGATTTACAAGCCGTTTGCAATGGAATGTTGGTAGATTAGGGTCAATCGATGAGTACATGGGCTCCATTGAAGAGTGAACCTCATTTGAAGCATTTTTTAGCAGATTCCATAGCACACTATCAAATTCAGATTGTAGAAAGCGCTCAACTGCTGCTGGGATTTGCTTGAACTCGGCGGAGAATCTTTCTCCTTGCTTCACGTCTTGAAGTGCAATTGGAAAGAGGCGTCGAAAGATACTCCCAATGTGCTTAATCACATAGTTTAGTCCAGGGTGCGAAACATCTTTTAGGCACACACGAGTTATTTCGACCATTGCCCTTTCCCAATTTTCTTGCTGTAACCCGCCACTTAAAAACCCCGTCAAATTGGCAACTTTGTCACGAAGCTGGAATGGATCAGGTAGGGCGTCGATCATAATGACTCGAAAAAATTCCTATATTGAAGACAACAGCAAAGTTAGAATTACCCTATCCATTGTATGTGAAATGAACAACAGATAGAAAGAATGAGTTCACATACCAGTGCCCTTTGATATTGCTTTCCTCCTAGAAACCTCGATGCGGCGTAAATTTCATCGGGAAACTCGTCTAAATTCGACACACGACCACGCCAATGATCTTCCTTCTCACTGTGGTGATTTAATGACCTGGTGGACCACTCAGAGTCTTCTTCTTCGTCTAGTTCGTCATCTAGGGTTTGAAGTTTATCGGGGAACTTGAGAGATAATTCCAAATCACCATCAAGATAATTCAGAATGCGGTCTTGCACTTGAAATAGCATCCGAGTTACAACATTTCGAAGATTTTGAGGATCATTAAATTTCATTTTATCTTCAAGATTCTTGTATTCAGCATTGTACTTGTCCAAATCATTTCGCAATGAAGATATTACCTCTGGAAGACGTTCAATGGTGTCCTTCAACATGATTTCTCGCATTACCTTTTTGGCCGATGGGAACCCAATCTTTGTCTCGATGTCAATGTGCAATGGATCCTCCACACCTCCGTTCTCGATACAGTAACGCTCGTGCCCCTCTCGCCACTGCTCAAATTTATCGTTCTCGTAAACATCTGCTTTTTGAATCAATTTTGTGCGCTCCTCAAACAACTTGTCAGGTGGCAAATCCTCCCTATCCAAAGTAGGTGTGATGACCAAATGGGGACGACACTTGTTCAGAAAAAACTCATCGAAAAAGTCGTTTGCCTTTGTAGAAGTTCGGGCGTCTTCAAGCTGTTTGTCAAATTTTGTCATTAGAAATGTAGCATCGTCAATCCATTTCTTGCGACCCCCAAGGGTATCGTCGCAAAAATCTAGAATGGGGTTTGTGGCGAATTCCTTTGGCTCGAGAAGAACGCATAGTTTAGTATTTGGTTTTCGCATTTCGCTGCGAAGAATGGACTTGATATCTTCACGATTGTCTTTCCCAGTACTTTGATTCGAAATGATTCCTGGAGTATCGACGAATCTCATGTTTTGAACATTTGCCGATCTATAGTTTAGGTAGAGAGGCTCAGTGCTGAACCTATCTTCATCGCCTAGTTTCTTGTTGTGATTAGTGATTCGTTCGAACACGTCGTTGACAGTCAATTGATCGCCGCGCTCGTCTTCTGGTAGCTCCTCTCCATACAATTCGCAAACCGCAGTATTACAAGTGGTGTCATGAATACAAGTTGCATCAAGCGGGCAACGAGTTCCCGTTCCTTGTTGAACTATGTTCAGTACCGAGTTCAAAAAGCGTTCCATGATGGTACTCTTACCTGCCGATTGCATACCACAAAAGACGAAGGTCATAAAAGGAGCAGGTCTTTTCAAAAGATCTTGATATACCTTGTTCACTTGTGCAACAAACTTCAAAAGTTCATCCTCGTTTCGGTTCAGTAAGGCTATATAGCGGTCTTCTGTGTCCATGGAAGGGCTAAAAGAACTTCCAACATTGTCGGCACTTCCACGATTGTCCTTTCCATTGATATTATGAGCTCCTTTTGAGCGCCGTTTGTTGCGCAACTTCTTGCGTTCCTCCCGGGATGGCATGGATTTGGAGCCGTTGAGGGATGAGTCATATGCAGGAGAAAAACCTTGGTCGACAAGCATCGTTAGTGCAATCTTTGGGTCTTTATGCTACTCGATATATTTATGTGTTTCGATGATTTAGGTCTTGTTAACTATTTTAGACAATGCGCTAAATGAATTTATGGAATGGAAGAAAGCTCGATTGGCGACAAACCAGACTGCAACAAAACAAAAAGATTGGCGATGATGCTTGCCACAACGCAGCGTTTTGAATAGGACAAAGACCGTTACGGTTTTGGTTATTATCGGAAACACCCTGGGCCCTCCGGAACCAACGCGCGCGCGTCCCCCCTTTGAAATCAAATATCGGGGGTATGATTTCGTGGGTTTTTTTTCCCAAACAATAACCCACGTTTCTAAAACGTGGGTTTTTTTTCCCAAACAATAACCCACGTTTCTAAAACGTGGGTWTTTWTTCCCAAAAAATAACCCATGTTTTAAAWCGTGGGTTGGGTTAACCCACAAATAACCCACGAATAACCCACGAAATAACCCACGAAATAACCCACGAAAAACCCACAAACCTGCTGGGCCTTTCTCCAAATATTAAAAAAAGTGATTAAATAACGTTAATGACTAAAATACTTAACACCCTTGGTTCTCCATCAACCCAGATGACTGTAAATTCGTGGGTTCTTTCGTGGGTTCTTTCGTGGGTTATTTGTGGGTTCCTGGGTTCTTTCGTGGGTTATTTTTCAAATTAAAAWACCCACGTTTTAGAAACGTGGGTTATTTTTCCCAAACAATAACCCACGTTTCTAAAACATGGGTATTTTTTCCCAAAAAATAACCCACGTTTTTCTAGGGGAGGAATTCGAAAAGGGGGATGTGCGCGTGGGTACCGGAGGGCCCTGATTTAGATTTGCCAAAGCGTTTTGGATTGGCGACGTCATGCTCGACCGTTTAGGTAATGTTAGAAGTGAGTGGATTTGGCGTAGCCGGATTGTAGAAGTATTATCAGCGGCATCTATCAAGCAGCGGTATCATTGTACGACCTGTGCTCTGGTACAGAAGAAAAAGATCCTACCGGTACATCGTCTAGTCATCTTTCACTCTAAAACCTCATTCATAATTCGCGTTTCTCATTGGTCTCACAAGAATTTTCAAAATCGTTGAAATTTGTACCCAAAATACTAGCACTCGTAATAGTATGAGTACCTAGCACCTACGTACTGTAGCTAGGGTACCGAACGGTACAGTACCAGTTACTCGTAATTGTTTGTAATCATGGGTCATAACTTTACAAAAAATAATACCGGTATCAGCCCTGCTTCTACGGTACCGTACGGTACGGTACTGTACTTCCTGTATTGACATAAAGATTGTTGATAGCAGTCGAACGAATCAAAAAATGATTTGTCTCTCACACGAATTTTTCATTTTTGGCTCTGTCATGACGTGGTACAAAGATTCTACGTACGAGTAGCTAATCCACTGATGCATAGGTACGTACAATACAAAGGTCAATTCGTACGAACTCCTACCGTTTCTACAGCAGTAGTCCTAGTTTTTACTATTACAGGACGAAAATCCTATTGATGTCCTGTACGGAGTTTCTAATACAGTAATATTGATTACTTTTGGATGACTAAAAAAGAAAAAGATAACATCATACCGGTACATTAACTTCCGAAACGCAAGCCCCTTCCTCCGAATGCTTGCTAAAGGTACGGTACGTACCGTTACTAGTCTTGAATCTTGAATCTGAGAAATCAATACGTAGTAATGAACGTTAGTCCGATACTGTCAGTTGGTCGTACGCGAACCGTACGTGTGAACTTTTCTCACTAAGGTACAAGTACGTACTGTAACGAGGCGATAACGAATCTGATAGCACATGATCGATCATCGAGCAAAACTTTGTTGCATGCGAGTGATTTTTCCGATACCATCACACGGTGCTGAATCGTGCTCTTCGGCGATCATTTTCTCAATTCAGAGGACGTACAAAGGCGATTTAAAGAGATCCAACAAAGTACCATGAGCTCCCGTGTTCCAGCGCTAGCTAAGCCGTTTGTGTCATTGTATAATACACTCCCCACAATTAATGTTCCCGCGACGCATCTAAATATTTCCTTCTCCTTGCTGAGTGCCATATTTTTGACGATTGTTAGATTCTTAAGCGAGTACGTCTTGACCCAACATTTTGGTTGGCCAGAAAATGCAACAGTCACCCGAGAAGCCGCGTCCAGCTGCAGTTCCATTTGCCACTCTACCATCCTTTGCACAGGCCTGATTGTTGCCTTTTGGACCCAAACCTACGATGTGGCGGCAAAGATCAAGGACCAAGCGAAACCACACCATTGGTGGCCCGATTTGGCGGATGCTTTGCTACAATTTTGCACGGGATACATGATTTACGACACCTGTATCAATATTTTGTGGCTTCGGTGGGACTCGGAAACATCGAACTTCGAGTTCACCCCAGACGACTTCTTGTTCCTTGCCCATCACATGGTGACCTCCGTTTATATGATTAGTGCTCGTGTTATCGGAGCCGGTTACATGTCGGCCATGATTTGCATGCTTTTGGGAGAGATCACAAATCCTCTTCACAACCTGTACTTTTTCGGGGAGAAGGCTCTTACACTGGAGTGTTGCAACGGACCCTTTGTCCAGTCATTCCACTCTACGGTGACGATAGCATTTGCTGCCGCATACTTTTTGGTCCGAGTAATTATTGCACCGCCCTTTTTCTTGTTAGTTACCTTTGTGCTCCTCTTTACCAAGCGGGGGCGAGCAAATATCCCACTCCCTCTCAACGTCTTTTGGAACCTACTAATTTGGGGCGTTTGTTTTGGAAGCGGATCCTGGATACAAAAATGTTACAATATTGTGGCGGATTTTGTCGCGGGGGATTCAAATTCTGGAGTTGGAGGAGAACTCTAGAAGAATAGCCAAAATATTGAGAGAATGTTATTTTCATTCTTAATATTTGTAGTGATCTTGGAGAATAAGAACACAATTTTTATCATCTTATCAGGAATGAATTAAAACTCGCTTTTTTTTTTTTTTTTAAATGAAGCGCCATGCATGTATTCCAAACACAATCTTGGAAACGTAGGCAACTTACTCTCTCGATGTTACTAAAGAAACTATAACTAGTCAGTAGCTTTGTCGAACAGCTCTTAGTTTCTGGACCCCACGTCAGGCCCGTTGCGAAGCTGTTATGTTTATTCTCATCACTCGTCGTCATTTAACATGAATCTTTTGCCATAGCTACTACCGAAAGTCGAAGTCGATTTCTTCATTTTTGACAGCATGGCTTTGCTACTACTCAAAGTGTTGTTCATCTTCGTTAAGATATTGCGTCGGTCGCGAACATCATCGTCGTGCTGTTCTTCTGGAACCGGAAGAGGTTCTGTTCCTAGTACAGGCATCCTTGTCTCGTTTTGGAACCCCTCACCAAGCGCGGGTCCACGTCCGTTCCCAAATGGGTCGTTCATATCACCACCAAGCAAGCCATCACTTCCCAATTGTGTTGACTTTCTGAGTTGGAATGAGCTTCTTATTGACTTCAATTTTTTCCCGCTATTTTTCTTTAGGCTCTTGATATTGACACTGCCCAAACGTCTCAAGCTTAGCATTGAAGAATTTTCAGACTTTCCCCTACCAAAGTCTTCGCTGGTGAGTCCAGCAGTGAGAATGGCTTCCGCTTCCTCGTCATCTTCGTCATCCTCTTCTTCGATAGTTGCGGGCATCCCGTGCAGACCACCCAAGCTGACACGATTCTTTGGCAGCTGTGATAGCGTTGACTGCTTGAATCCAACGTTGTGATGTTCAAAGCTTTCAACTCCCTTTCCGAGAGTTTTGTTGTCGACACTCGTATTAGTGCCACTCTTCTTCTTGGTAGTTCGTTTCGATGTCTGATTTGTATTTATGTCGTCAAAATCACTAAAATTGTCGAAGCTACCAAAATTTTCTCTCCCCTCGACATTGAAGGAATTGTTTTTCTTCATGTCCTCCATTTCCTTCCGCAATGAAGCAACTGTGAACGCCTTCTTTCCGATCTGTTGCTTTTCAAGTTCCTGAGTATAAATATCAGCTGGATCGATTTCGTCGGACGCGATTTCTCCGTCCTTCTTCCTCTTAGGCCCTCTGCGCCCTACTTCAAGTGAATCATACCCGGAGGCTGAACTTACAGCATCAGAAAGTTGGTCCTTCATCGGCATGATAACTCTACCGCTCATCATCTTCTTTAAATCGTGTTGCATCGAACGTGTCTGTAATCGTTTCAAATACCCACCATCGAAGGTGTCACTATCTTCATCTGAGTCAACAGGATCTCCATGAGCCCCATTGCTCTCGCTATAACTTACAGCATCTGAGTCATCATCATTATCGTCACCATAAACAGAAAAGTTTTCGCTTGGCTTCTGCGCAAAATTCGGTCCGATTGCTGAATCGTCGTCGCGGTCGTCTTCAGCCTCTTTCCCTTTTCCGTACTCATCCTCAAGGTTAGCATCAAATACATCTTGCATGGCCTTCCGAAATTCTTTTGTAAGCGTCCTATCCTTTTTTTTCTGTGATCTATTTTTCTTTTTCTGTTTTCTTTTCTTTTTCGTATCCACCTGAGCCTTTTCTCCCTCAAACAGGAACAATCGTGGTACATCTTGCAAACTTCTACTCTCCTCTGTTTCCTCCGTTACTTTTTTCTTATCTTTACTAGTTTCTTTCACTCGCTTACGTTCTCGAAGTCGTTGGTTGATTTGAGCAATCACGTTTTCATCGGCAACAACAGTCTCCCAAGTAGTGTCAAATTCGGCTTCTTTGTCCTCGATTGTTTCAGCAACACGAGTTTCAGTATTTTCATCATCATCAACATCATCATCATTGCCATTATCATCATCTTGAGGTTCTATATCGTTATTCGACGCTCTGAAAGATTGCGCCAACGAATCAAGAAAACTATCTTTCGTATAATCCAAGTCGTCATCACTTTCATCCTCGTCTCCTTCCTCTACGTCAGAAAGAGCTAATCCCGCAGAATCTGCTTCATCTTCCGAATCGATCACTGATATCTTCCGCACAAACGACTGATTGAATTGCAAGGTGGCATTGCTCTCTACGCTAGTAACCTTCTTCTTTTTGGG